CAGGCACTGGTTCTATGCAAATGCGAGTATAAATGGATAACTCCATCATCGCAATTCATGCCACTGGCTGCAGCAGTGTAGCCGCTGTAACTGCTGTAGCCCAACTGTAACTGCCGCAGTTGGACACGGAGAAAAAAAACCGAGTACTTTTAACATTTCAGATAAAGTTTTTATTTACTGAATGATTAATACAATATTATCAAATACATTGATCGAATTTAATAAATCCTAAAAGGAAAACAGAGAATCTATAGTTGCTTGTTAAACTTTTTCGCTCAGTGCACTCGCTGTGGCACTGGAAATTGTGTTCACCATTGTGTTAGTAAGTAGCAGTCGAGCCATGACCGCGAAGAGACAGTCGCAATCGCAACAATTGTATTTGCCTTGGTTGTCCGCGGCCAGCCTCTCCTCGCCCTCCGCACTGCTCGTCCTTTTCGCCTTGCTCCTTCGTCCTTCGTCCTTCTGCTGAGTGCAATTTGGCCAACAGCAGAAATTATGCAAAAGCAAAAAAAAATGGCATGCAAACTTGGCATAAATCAATAGAAAATTTATACGTTTCGCCAAAGTGAACAGTTTCAGCGTGTCTGCTGTGCGACAGTCGGGCCGGAGGTCTAGGATTTCGCGTGTTCCACCAGCTTTAGTTCTCCCCTTTTTTTGACTTCTTCCTTTTATACATGACATTTGAAATGATATTCCCTTTGTTAGGGAAAATTCCCTGCTGAGCGCTCAAGTCGGCTAAATCACTGGATAAGCACCTTGATGTTGTCAACGGCCAAGAATCTGAACAGTATGCAAACCGCGGATTTATTGATCATCCGTTTAGCTGTGGAAAATAAAGGATAACCTTAGAATGGGAAGTCAAAACCAGTCCAAATTTTATGTAGCTTAAGTATAACAACAACGCAATGCATATCTAATTACTATTTTATAAGTACTATTATTCAAGTCAACGACCTATCGAACCTATTTTCTACATAATTATCCAAATTATCCATATATTTTAAGCTCTCTACATAAATAGCAAATCCTTTAAGGCCCCATGTAGCTGAGGCAATTAATCATCTATTGATTTCCCAATAGGCTTTCCAAACTTGAAGCAACTTGGCTGCGCTAATGGCCCAAAGGAGATTTCGTGGGCGAGGGGTGAAGTCAAGCATTACATTGTCAAGAGGAATCGAGACACCTTACCATTAGACAGCTTAGCTAATTATTAACTGCATTAGAGTCTGACAAATGACAAATTGCGTTGCCATATTCAGCAGCTTGTTTGCCCTCCTTCCCTATCCCTTATACACGTGCATGTTTGTACGAATGGGTATTATCGTGGTGGCTGCTAAGTATTTTTGACACAAAATTAGTTACACAAAGCTGAAAGGGAAGAGAAGCACACGCCCAGCACATAAACACCAGTGAGGTGAGGAAATATTCGGAATAAGCTCCGAAAAATTTCCAACACTTTGGGTCCGGTCATTTATCATTAAAAATAACCACACTGCGAAAAAGGCGAAATGCGTAATTATCGGGCTGTGGCTGTGCCAGGCGAATGATTGAATGTGTTTCATCAAATATGTAACATGAATTATAATTTTTACATATTTGCGGCCGCCTGCCCCGCCACTCTGTCCCACAGTGAGTGTGCTGCTTCCCTCACATGGTATCAGCAGGGAAATGGAATGGAAATCCATCGCGTGCCTTGAGCAAATCCAACATTTTCCAGCGCCCGGCGAACGACGGCAAAATGAGCTATAGAGAGCGCGTCAGAAGTGCCGATTTGTGGTCTGACTTGGGGCCGCACAGTGCACCGAATTTCTTGATAGCCTGTCAAAAAAAATATATATATATATGTAAGGAGTATAGATCCCTTGTTTCCTTGGGGGCACACGTCTTTTCTTTAAAGCCAAGAAAACTTTAAAAATATATAAAGTTACTAAGAAACTAAACTGATAATCCAGTCTGCGAGGGAGCTAGTATACATAAGCAACTTTTCTAATGAATTTAAATTCTTTAATTTGCAATTTTCCACTCATCCCGATACACTGTTTTGGCCCGACGATGGTGTGCCAGCTATCTGCATACATTGTGTGATACGGGGGAGATCTAAAGTAGGCACACTTGTGGCGAACTGGGGCATAACGCACTCAACACGGCATAAATTAAAATTTTTATGTCCAACGCGTTCGCTCCTCTTTCGCGTTCCTCCATGTCCTCGAAGGCCGCCGTCTCCCTATTCCTTGGAGGAGAAGTGTGTTGTGTTACAGCAATTCACAGCTCACATGGCGGATTGTGGATTGCGTGTGGCAAGTGAAACGAAACACGCACGAGACAGAGCCAAATACTCGAAATACGATTTTTAGTGCCCGGCGAGCGAGTCACGTTATGATTTGTCACACGGAGAAAAATGTATAAAAAACATAACAAATAACATATAACAAATATTCTGTAAGAGGTTACTTAAAAATTAAGAAAAAATCTCTTTCAATATATCTTTTATAAGTCATATCTATTGGGGCTACAAAAACTCCATCTTTTATTAATTATTCCCTTTTAATCGTAATTTTTTTTTACTCTGTAACCAAAAATCCAACAATCCCGACCAAAAACCCGGACGGCATTCATTTGCTAATCAAAACAAATGAAAACAACATGAATTATGGCCGGCAGCAGCAAAAGGCTAATAGGGTTAAAGCCGCAGAGTTCAGCAAATGAAATAACCCGAAAAGCGTCCCACACATGTGGCTCATTTTTAATGAAATTGTTCGAATGTGGTTTCTGGCCCCTTGAAGCGCTCGCCAAGCTCTCCGCCTTCCTTTGTGTGACACACGTAATTTGAATATATGGCACTGGGTTTCGGTTCCGGCCACAGGTCAATGTTGGGTGTGCGGTTGGGAGCAGAACTATTCGAAGGGACGCGAGGACGAGGTTCCTGTGACTGGGATTGGGTCCTGTCCGCTTTTTGCCATTTGACGCTTTCAGGCCCCGGCAGGCAGTTTGATAAATAATGAAGTCATATGTCTAAAGTTGAATTTTATACTATCACGCAATTGCCGAGACCTCTCCGAATACCAGAGCCCAAAGCAAAAAAAAAAAAAAAATACCCCAGGCCCGATGTCTAGGACAACGGCGTACATTGTATGCGACGCCCACATTTTCGCAACTTTTTATGTAATCGTAAAAATATTTTTATGATTTCATAATTTTACAGTGTTGGCGGGGAAGAAGAACGCCGGTTGTTTATGGCCATAGCCACATTGCCCTGCGGCGGTATCTCTGCACTTGAACAAAAAGTTTATAGGTTTTAAAATCAGAAATTGGATGGGTAACAAATTATTTGATAAAAGTTTTAAATGAAATATATTTTTTTATGTTATTAAATAGTTGGGTTGTGAAACCTCTTAGATTAGTGGTTCTTTTTTCAGATAATATTTTTATTTTTTAAGATATTCTGTTGTTTTAAGTTCCCTAATCAATCAAGCTTGGCTTATACTTCCGTTTTAAACTTTTCATAATTTTATTCTTAAATATTCTACAGTCATTTTTATGTAAGAAACAATTAATGCAATATTTTCTCCGAGTGCCTTCTGCAAATTTGTGGCATTTTTATTTCGCCCTCTCCTTGGATTAATTTTTTTGTAATTTTCCACTGGCGCATCTGCAGCGTTCGGTACAAAACGGTGCTTTAAGATCATGCCTGGCTAATCTTAGCCTTGACTCATATCGCAGCATTTACTCGCAATTTTATGCAAAACCATATTTCCCAACTGTAAAAGTAAAAACTTGGCTGGGCGCCTGTAGCCCCGGCTAAAATGGAATCACGGCGGGTGGCTTCTGCTGTCTGCTTCTATTTCCATCCGAGATACACACACGTGTGTGTGTGTGTGGGTCCGTGGGGTGTGTGTTAGGGGAATAGCAGCGCACACGCTGAGAGACCTCTATCTGTATTTGTTTAAGGCTCGGCTACCTTGCAACAAGGACAACACACCGCTCGCAGCTCACAGCAACACAGCTACTGCTCACAGCTCACAGCTTGAAAAATGTTTGTTGTCAACATTTTCAGTTTGCATCGTTAGCTTAAAAGCGTGCGCCACCGAGGGCCTCGCACAATGGGGCAAAAATCGATAAATGAGACAAACCGTGTGATTTAGCCCCACCGAAGCACAAAGGAGTTCCATTTTGATCACAAAATAGAAAAGTGTGCTGGATACAAGGCCATCTGTTGGGCGATGGGCGGGTGTGCGGCTCAAGTGCCGTGAAAGCGCTCTCCTCAAACCGAAATTAATTATTTCGATGAATTTGAATCGGTGCGAGGAGAAGGACCGAGGACCGAAGGCCGAGAAAAAAGCAAAGGCTCTCTGACAAAAGTTTATGAATATTTGTGCTAATGGCTTGGCCGAGAGATTGAACTTTCGCCCACAGCTGCTGGCGCTGGAAATAAATAAATTAAAATATGTGTCCAACAGGTATCCGGACACAAAGCCTCTGAGCGCTTCCTTTGGCCTGTCCCGACAACAGGACTTATCCGTTTCTATAAATATTCTCCTCGTCGCTGCCAAAGTTATGGCAAACTCTTGCAATTAAACTGTCAGACTTATGAATTCATTAAATATTTTAATTGTAGCTTTTGAATAATTAAAATTCCATTTATATGGCACAACACATACCTCAAGCCATAAATCTGCGATTAATTAAAAGCCCCGTTCCCAGTGCGCTGCTGCTGCCGCCTGTTTTCCCCTTTTCTTGGGCACCCACGGCGTATACGCAATGGCAATTAAACTTAATTACAAAAACATAACCGAAACTCAATTGGAAAACACTGTCTTGGCCTGTAACGGCTGTTTTGTATCTCTCTGATTGAACTGTATATTCCTTTAACTACTAGATCTGTAATTTATTCACGTGGCTCTAGGGGAGAGTGAATAAAAGGAGTGAATTCTAGTCACATTTTCAGTTGTATTCGTAAGCTGCTGGGAAAGCTACAGTTTATGTTATTTTCTGTCACTCACCTGGATCATCGTCATCGTCCCAATCGATTTGACCGGAAGTAATGCTGATGTGTGCCGCGAACAGGAAGAGCGCGAATAAAGCCAGAGAGCACCGTCGGATGCTGGCGTAGTAGGAAGTGGTTACGTGCATCGTGGAAGTCCTCGGCGCTGCCAAATCCATTGTGTAAATTGTAACAATTTATATGCAGGCTCGGCTCGTATACTTGAGTGTTTACACTCGCCTCTCTTCTGGCGCTGTTTTCAATTTAATTTTCTCGAACAAAATGCGGCCACTCTCACTCACACGCGAACACGTTTACCTTCGGCGCAATTCTTCCTTAAATTTCGCAGTAATGCTTACTTCCACTTCCCCGAGCTGAGCTGAACTGAACTGAACTGGACTAGTCTGATTCGGAATTCAGGGAGTGCGCAGCTTTTTGCTCTCGACTCCTACATCTACTAATTAAGTTGTTTCATTTTCAGTTTCTGCCTGGGGCATAACTTTTACGCTGCTGCTGCTGCTTCTGTTGATGTTGCTGCTGCTGTTGGTGTTGCTGCCGTTGCCTGCCATTGAGGTGTGCAAAGTTATCCAATTGTAGCATTGTTTTTTCGATTTCAAATTTCTGCAAGAGAAGAGGAGTTTGGAAGAATTATAAGTTTTGTTTTTGGCCGGGGGCAAAATACCAAAATCATTTATAAGTGGATTAATAAATTAGTCGATTGCATGTGGGCTAATGAGATAATGATGCCGCTGTAGAGTGTAGCTTTTTTTCTTTCACAATTAATTGGGAATAGTTCACAATATAGAATATATACTATACACCACGATGTGACATAATGAAGCTGATTCTTTATAGGTCAATTTTGATTTAGTTTCTCATTAAAATATATACTTTTATGTTTCTGAAACAAGTTCTGCTTATGCAATTATCACTTGTATTCAGCTTATTTATATTCCCTTTCGCTTTATGAGTTTAGAGCAAAACTTTCGCTCTTTGACCCAGTTCGGGGCAACTTGAAGCCAAAGCCACGTAAGAACGGAAATTAGTTTCACTTTCGAAAGCTAACAAGCAGCGCCACGAACTCCGAGCTCAATTGAACCCCGAGCTCCTCCTTTGCTCACTTATTTTGGCCTTCCAAAAACGGTTGCCTACATTTCGGGGCACTATCTGCAGTGCCTAATTTGGCATGGTTCGGCGGGGAAAAGCGCCTCTGCTGCTGCCTGGCTTATTATGCGCACTTCAAACTTTAGACAACGCGGCAGGCAGTAGCAGCAGCAGCAGCAGCAGCAGCAGCAGCAGTAGCAGCAGAAGCAGCAACAACAGCAGCACATTGTTGTTCATGTTAGCAAACATCTCACGCCACGGCTGCCTGCATATCTCAGCCGCCGCCCAGCCCGAAAACTGTATCCACACAGAGGAAAATTATGTGTGTTTAAAAAGAAATTATATAAAAAATAAAACTGAAATGGATTAACTGAACCTTGTAATAAATAATTTAAAATTCATCTGCTTACTTATTATACATTATTATTTATCTTGCTATATTATTTCTCTCAGTGCAGCCACTGCTCAGCCTTTGGGCATCCGCTGCTGCTGGTGCTTCTTTATGCATGCAGCCACTCACTCAAATTTCGAGTGCAGCAGCGTCGCTGCAGCGAATTTATATACATTTCGTTTAATTTGGCCCGCTGCCGACGAGCCCCCCCCAGCCTTTAGGCCCCGCAAAAACTTTAGCGACACTGCTTTGGAGGGGGAAATGTAACACAGAAATATACAACAAAAAAAAATTCTACAGCAGAATAAAAACCGAAAAAAAAGGGGGCGAAAAAAAACTGAAAAAGTTGTCTGCCGAAATCAACGCCACTTTCGCCACAAGCATTAAGCGTTGCATGCAAAATTACCAGCGAGTGGTTTGTATTTCCACTCTGATTGCTGTTTAACATGGTTACATTGTCCTTGGAACCGAAACTGAAACTGAATCAGAGTCCTGGTGGAGCCGGGGAATCCTGAATTCCGTTGTTTCAGCCTGCCTCCTGACATTTGTTTCGGCCACGATGTATGTGCATCAACATCTATGGTGGCCGTGCATCATGACATGCTCTAGTTGCCAAACTTTTATTTTTTTTTCGGTTCTGTTTTGAAGTATTTTTTTATCGCCCTATTTGTATATGTATCATCAAAGAGGGAGAAACACGAGTTTGTTGTTGCACAAATCCGAACGTGGGTCCTGCTGGACAAACTAATTTGAGCTTAGACGTCAGTAACAACAGCACAAGTACACAGTAAGGAAAATGTATTACAAATTACAATTTTTTTTTTAATTTTTCGCTTTGGTAGAGGGATGTTTTTAAGCCAAGAAAATAGGCAAACATTTATTTTAAATACATTTCCAAAATGTGAAATATTTCATCATCGATATTTATGCATTAAATTCCTTAAACTTTGGTGTATATTTTTGTTCTGTGTGAATGGGCAGCTGAATAAAACTTTTCGCCTAAACACTCACTTGAGGTGAACCCGGTTTTTAGGAACTTATGCACGACAAGAGGCAAACGGCAAACATGTGCGGTTACTTCATCAACATTTCACGCTCGACTTGGCCGGCCCTGCCAAATGGTAGAAAAACTGCCAAGGCACGCAGCAAAAATGTATGCAATGCCGGCTGCTGTTCTCCTCGGTAGTCCTGGTCCTGCTCTCGCTCACCTGCTCTCTCACCTGGCCGGCAAAATAAACTCGACTCAACTGTGGAAAATCAACTAGCTCTTGCCTCCTCTCGCTCTCCACCACACGTGGCACAAAGTTTGCCTTCAGCTTAACTTTTTTTCTGTTTTTGTAGATTTTTTTTTTTTTTGTATTTTTGCGGTTCCCCCTTTTGGCCAGTGCAAATACTTGGCATCGTCGTATTCATACGACTATTTGTCCAGGTATGAGTTCATGTAAGCGTTTATCGGTCAGCGCTTAGTCTTTGACAGAAAACCTTGCTGGAATCCTAGCGTAGAATCAGTAATATAAAATCCATATACCTTTAAGCAAATTGGGTGAAAAATACCATTTTGAAATAAGTTACCCGCTGACCTTTAAATTAAGAAAACTAGAAGACTTCGTAAAGGCGTTCCTTTTCTTTTAAACCTCTTGATATTTTCAACAACGAACAAGAAATACGTAATTTCTTTTACTGCTGCGGTGTCCCTAAAAGCTGTTTATTTGCACCGTGCCACCGCCTTTTCTGTGACCATGGCCAGCCATCGATTTGGCAGCACGTTTTGTGGGTTAGGAAGTCCGGGAGTTGCCGTGCCGGTGGTCCGTGCAGCTATTCGGACAACGAGTTAAAGTGTTTCGCCACGCACTTCAATAAAAACACCTCCACGTACACAGCCGGTAAGCAGCTAGTTTCGTGACGGGGCGAACCGGCGATACGCATACGCAATGTGGGCCAGTTCACTGGAATAAAGTGTATAGTGTGTTTTTGTGTGTGTCCACCGGGTACTCTTGTGCCTTGTGCTCTCCGTCTGTCTGGCGAAAGTTTTTCGCTCCTTTTGGCTGCGCCATATGTTCAAGTGCCTAATAACTAAATGCCAACTGGCTGATAGCCGAATCCAATAAAATATTCGGGCCATCGGGTGGCTGGCTGGTTCCCCTGCCGCGGAGATTAGCGCATTAGTCACACACTGGTGCCTTGCGGTGCTCTCAATTTAATGGCAATTGCATTCGTTCAAAGATAATTAAAAACCGATAGCAGGGCCAGCCCCGCCCCAAGACGCCCTTAAGCCATTTAATCTGTGTGGTTCGCTGAAAAATGGCGGATGTTGGGAAGGAACATCTTAAATACTCAAGGACATTGGCCAGGGTTTGAGCTATTTTAAATTTTCAACATAACATGCTTTCCTAATTAGATCGCAATACACTATTAGCTGCTTTCAAATTCCGTGGCTTACATTTTTAAACATTTTAGGCAAACCCTGAGCCCCGGAAGCCAACACTCAGGTGTCAATGTCGCAACCCATGCCTCCTAATTGCCGAAGACACCAAGGCCGAGGAAGCCAGCGTTGTTGTTTAGCAATTTCCAGATGTGTGTGTGGCCAGGAGCAGATATACACGTATTACGTATACGTACAGAGGACCCGGACCCGGCCCAAAGAAGGGCTGGTAGAAGTAGCAAATTGGCGGTGACATTGACAGGGAGCGGAGCGGAGTGAAGCGGCGAAAATGTGGGAGGACATCGGAGCAATGGCGACACATCGGGACTCAGACTCCAGGACCCGGCTGCAGAGTACACAAAAAGTTTTCTAATTATTTTGTCATTAAACGCACACAGAGACACACACTCACATAACACACAGGCAGGCAGCCTTGTTTACAGGCATACACATGTTTGCCGAGCTATAAAAAGGGTTGGGTCTTTGGATATCCGAAAACCCCTCAGGAAAGGCAGCGCCAGCCGAAGGGAAGTGGGGAAAAGGAAAGGAAAGTGTCCTTAGCAAGAGGCAACTTTTTCTCCTAATTGTTTCATTTCATGGAATGGAGGTAAGATATTTCGGCAGCTGTGCGTGTATTGCCCTAGGCACTCGCACACCCTCACCCACCCACACACATTGCATTAAAACAAGACATCACCTCAGACTCTCACACCCACCCTCGCAATCGCTGCATATAAAGCGATTAACACGAGGAGCGCTCCAAAGGTTTGGAGTTCGAGGAGTGAGTCGCGTGACTGTGGCTGTCTCTCCTTGTTAAACAATTTGTTGAATTATTATCATACACCGACCACCCCACTCGAATACACTGCCTCCCAGGCCAAGGGAAACTGGCTCAGCATCCGCGTCAACAGTGCTGATCACAAAAATATATATGTATAAATATATTTTTCATTTTAAAAATACAAAAAAAATATTACTCTTACAATTGTAAGTAGGTTGGTTTGCCTTGATTTTATGGTATGTTGTAACTCTAGAAAGTTAGTCCAAGAATCCGGTTTAATTGCTAGTTTATTGATTAAGTAATTTATAAAATATACCTACTGTTGAAATGTATTAAAACAGGTGAAAAACTTGTTGTAATCTCTGTTTTTAAAAAGGTATATTTTAAGGATCAGGAATAAAACAAAATATTCACATATCTTCTCTTATTTAGCTAAAAGATAGCCAAGATGTCAACCCATATTTAAGCCAGAGTAACCGTGTGAATATATGTATAAATGTGTGCGCTTTGCTCACTTCGACGTCAAGTCAAATATGTTTAATAGCTAACTCGCTGTATTTGTGTGTGCCAGCCTTTCCTCCTCAAATAGTCGCAGTAAATACAGGCCCTGAGTTTGCGTTGTAATTTCAGCTGCCTTCGCTCGGAAATCCCCAGCTGAAGGCGATCCAAATTGAGGCAATGAGAGGCAATGGGACAAATTGTGCCAGTCGTATAGCTCATCTGTTAAAACGATTATAAATATACATAATTGCAGCGCCTGATAAATGTATTGGCTCTGTCAGAATTGTTTTTGTGCCAATTATCGCTTGCGGAATGCATCGCAAAAAAATATTTTAAATATAATGGAATGAAATCAATTTATTGGAAAAACTACACAATAACGAAACTGACTGGTAGTTGCAAAAAACGTTAGCTATTTTTTG